TCAAAGTATCTAAAGGCGGTGACAGTGACGAGAAAACTGATGGAAAGGCAACCCAAGTAAATAAAGCAAGTGACGCATCACAATCTTCAGGTGGCGGTGGAGCTGTACTCAGTGGTGCAAAGACAATTGAAGTATCTAAAGTAAGCGATAGTGGCGACCATACTGCTGGAAAGGCAGTCGAAACACCTAAAGAAAATGAACCTCAACAACCTTCCAGTGGTGTTGGAGCTGCAGTCGTTGGTGAAAAGAAAATTAAAGTATCTAAAGGCGGTGACAGTGACGAGAAAGCTAATGGAAAGACAGGCAAAGCAACTAAAGCAAGTGAAACACCACAATCTTCGGGTGGCGGTGAAGCTGTACTCACTGGTAAAAAAGCAGTCAAAGTATCTAAAGGCGGTGCCAGTGACGAGAAAGCTGATGAAAAGACAGGCAAAGCAACTAAAGCAAGTGACGCACAACAACCTTCAGGTGGTGTTGGAACTGTACTCAGTGGTGCAAAGACAATTGAAGTATCTAAAGTAAGCGATAGTGGCGACCATACTGCTGGAAAGGCAGTCGAAACACCTAAAGAAAATGAACCTCACCAACCTTCCGGTGGTGTTGGAGCTGCAGTCATTGGTGAAAAGAAAATTAAAGTATCTAAAGGCGGTGACAATGACGAGCGTGCCGATGTAAAGGAAGCCAAAACACCTAAAGAAAATGAATCTCAACAACCTTCAGGTGGTGTTGGAGCTGTACTCACTGGTGGAGAGTTAGTCAAAGTACCTAAAGGAAATGACGGTGAGAAGCGTGACGGTGGAAAGTCATCGAAAACACCTAAAGAAAATGAAGCTAAACAACCGTCAGGTGGTGTGGAAGCTGCTCCCGCTGGTGGAAAGCCAACTGAAGGTGACAAACTGATCAAAAAGGTAAATGACGCAGATGTCGTGGGTGCTGTTGTCCTAGGTGGAAAAGCAGGTAAAGCACCTAAAGGTGGCAAAGAGAAAAATGCGACAGCTCCTGTAGGAGCTGTTGTCCTAAGTGGAAACCCAAGTAAAGGTGACAAAGGGACCAAAAAGGCAGATGGTGCAGATGTTGTGGGTGCAGTTGTCCTAGGTGGAAAAGCAGGTAAAGCACCTAAAGGTGGTAAAGGGAAAAATGCAACAGCTCCTGTAGGAGCTGTTGTCCTAAGTGAAAACCCAAGTAAAGGTGACAAAGGTACCAAAAAGGCAGATGGTGCAG